GCCGGCCTTGCTCGCAATGGCCAAGATCCCTTGCCCACTCGCCCTGCTTGCCTATATGCCAGTGCTGCGTGTGGGCGGCCTCCCTTCAGCCTGCGWCTGGGCCCCAGAGGCTGAAACCAGCCTGATATAGTTGGGCCCCGGGGCAATGCAGTTGCGCCTCTTTCATCAAGGCCTGCGGCCAGATTCAGATAGTGGGCCGATTTCCCTTTGGCATTTTCGGCCTCTATACCCAGTATGCATTGTCGGCCTCACGTTCAAGTAACCAGGGCCTAACTAACTCAGAGGCCCTGGGTCTTCAACATTTGCTGAAATCCGAGACTCGGTGCACTCCAACCAACTGCGTGCTGCAACTGTATGGACCCCACTTCGTGAAATGTTGGCACGAGGCTTGCTGGGGCCTTAGCCCAGAACACGTGCATCATGGCAAGGCCCCTACTTGAGGGCTCAATCCTCACATTCCATCCCCCTTAGCTTCAGAAGTCTGTTGAGATGCTTGCTTCGCAGGTGCCTTCCCTTTCAGTAGCCTCTCATAATCTGCCACCACCTCAGGAGCTGTCTCAATCAGTTCCTCCCTGGTAAACCACCGATCTTCTTTCGGATCCGTATGATGCCTGAATCTGACGTGGTACTCTCTCTTGGGTTTAGGAGGTCTTCCTCGACCCAGCGGCTTCGGAACAGGCATATCCCTGCGATTCACAATGTCGTCGATGTCCACTTGTCCATCCATGGTTGGGGGCAGCATCGATCTCCTGGAAGGGAATTGATCTGTCTCAGCGAAAGGTGCAAGCTTTGAGGGATGAAAGACTAGGTGAGTGTGTAGGTGTCCAGGGACACGAATGACATATGTGGGACCATCCATCTCATTTCCCACTATATCCAGGACTTCCCAGGGACCAAAGTACTGAGGCATTAGTTTGCGCGAGATTCCGAATTCCTGTCCTAACTCACTAGCCTTGACCCAGACACGTTCCCCTATCTGAAATGTGGACTGTCTACGATGTTGATTCTCAGAAGCAATCATTGCTTGCCGAGCTTTCTTCATATGCTCGACAGCCTCTTGTAGCAACTTCTCATACTGCACACCATACTCTAGTGTGTCTGGAGTTGCAGCGGGTCGGTTTTCAGTTAGGAGGAAGTCTAGTGCGGATCTAGGCTTCCATCCCAAGTTGGACTAACGCCGGTACTGCTATTGATAGCATTGTTGTACAGGCTGGCGATGAGATGCAACTGCTCATCCCAATCATCTTGGTTGGGCTTGATGTAATGCCTCAGCAAGTGCTGTACCACTCTGTTCATTTGCTCGGCCTGTCCGTTGGCTTCGGGATGATTCCCTGAAGTCATTTGAAGTTGACTGCCCATCTGTTCTGCAGTCTTCTTCCACAGCTCACTTGTGAATCGGACATCTCGGTCACTAACGATTGACTTTGGTAAACCAAAGTCATGCACCCAGTTGTCTTTGAACAACTTGATGACGTAGTCAGTTCTTGCAGTCTCTGGCATAGCCACTAGTCTAGCGTACTTGGTGAATCGGTCGATGATGACGAAGATGTGCCTCTTGCCACTCTTACTAGTTACCAGTGTGTCCATGAAATCCATGGAGACACTCTGTCCTGGACCAGCAGGGATAGGCAAAGGCTTCAACAACCCAAGCGTTGCTTGAGTTCGCGGCTTGTCCCGATGACAGACCTGACAGGTCTCTACGTACTGCTTTGCGTCATGGAACATTCCTGGCCACCAAAATCATTGTACTAAGTTAGCACTAGTCTTCTTGTAGCCGAAGTGTCCCGTTGCGTCATGGCATTCTCCTAAGAACAAACTACGCAAAGGTTCACTAGATGGAACTACTAATCTTTTTATTCCGGCCTTATCAAGATAGAGGAGCCCGTCCACCATCACTTTCCGTGACCTTGTCTTTTGCCTGAAGTTTGCGAATGATGTCCATCGTGACAGGGTCTTCCTGATAGGCTCCCACCAACGATTGAAATACTTCATCAGATACGTCAAAGTCAGAAACCAGCGCACCTAGGTAGTCTGCTCTACGTGATAGGGCATCAGCAACCTTATTATACTCTCCCTTCAGATACTCAAGCTTGAAGTCATATTGGTCTATGACCTCAATCCATCGCTTGAGTGCATCAGAAAGAGCCGGTTGAGTCTTGATCCATTTGAGGGTCTGATGATCAGTCCTCAAGTAGAAGAACCTTCCCAATAGGAAGTGTCTCCAATGGACAAGTGCTTTATATAGAGCATAGAGTTCCCTTTCATAGGTGGACTTTGCCAACTTCTTTTATGGCATCTTCTTGCTCATATACTCGATCGGTCTCAACTTTTTCCCATCCTGTTGAGCCAGCACTGCGCCAATGCTGTATTGGCTTGCGTCAGTGGTCACTATGAATGGCTTCTGAGGATCGGGAACCATGAGGACCTCATGATTCATGAGTGCATGCTACAATCTCTTTAAAGCACCCTCGCACTCATCACTCCAGTCCCACGGCGTGTCAAGTCGAGTTAGATCAGTCAAAGGAGAGGCGAGTGTAGAATAGTTCTTAACGAAGTTCCTATAGTAGCCGCACATTCCTAAGAATGATCTGACCTCAGTGACTGTCTGAGGTCGTGGCCAGTCTCGAATACTAGCCACTCTCGCATCTTCCGGCCTAATCCCTTCCGCGGATACTTCATGACCCAAGTATAATATCTTAGTGCGACCGAATTCACACTTCTCTAAGTTGACCTTATACTTGTGCTGTCGAAGGAGTGAAAGTACCGTCTCAACATGCCGTGCATGCTCCTCGACAGACTTACTAAAGATCAGAATGTCGTCTAGATAGACTACGACAAACTTATCTAAATGGTCATGGAAGATCCGATTCATAGCGTGCTGGAATGTTCCCGGCGCATTGCAAAGACCGAAGGGTATCACTACAAACTCATACAGACCATAACGTGTCTGAAAAGCTGTCTTGTGTTGGTCCTCAGGTCTTATAGCGATCTGATGATAGCCATATTTCAAGTCTATCTTCCAATAGGTCGTCTATGCGAGGTAGAGGCTCTGCGTTCTTCACAGTGATGGCATTGAGGCCTCTATAGTCAATGCACATCCTCAAAGTAACCCCCTTCTTCGGTACGAATAGAACGGGTGATCCGTAAGGGGAAGTACTAGGCCGAATCCAACCCTTCTCTGTCAGCTCCTTAAGCTGTCGCCGAAGTTCATCTAACTCGGCGGGGGCCATCCTATAGATCCTTCCCTTTGGGGTCTTACTCCCTGGAATGATTTCTATAGCGTGGACGACTTCCCTTTCCACAACTCCTGTGGGCTCCTCGAACAGATCAGGGAACTTAGCAACGACGCGTTCTATCTCTGGGGGTGTTTTAACGGCCTCCCCCTTCTCAGAGACATAAACAAGGTACATACCCTCCTCTTGGTTTTGCTTGTARTAGTTGTAGAACGCTGATGCGCACAAGCAGCCATAGGTATCTATAATACTACTGGCCTTGAACTTRGTCAATCTGACWGTTCGGCCATCGGGCAACTTATGCTTGAGCACCTTCTTATCCCAGTCGAACTGGGGCTTAGCAACTTCGAGGTAGTACATGCCTAATAACATGTCAAATGGTAAGTCGTCGCTAACCAAGAACGAAATCTTATGATTAAGTTCGCCTCCTCCATAGGAGAAGGTACAGACTACGTCCTTCATATAGTCTGTTACAATCATGCGCTCTTTGTTGGCCAAAGTAGATGCTACTGGTCTACTAAGGTGCAGTACCCGGTCCTGTAAACAATCGCGACTGATGTAAAATTTCGCGTGGATCCGATGTCTATGAAGGCGCCACATTTGCGGCCTCCTACATCCACTTCCACCACGAAATGTTCCCTTCTAGGACCTTTTTTCAGCGCCACCCAAGACTCGCGAGGGTCCTTGTTTGACCACTCACCTTCTAAGTCTTCCAAGGCTTCAGACACATCTAACGTACAGAGCATAGTTTGGTCTAGATGCGTCTGCGGGGTGACTAAGGAGTCACTAACTTTGGCCTTTTCATGAAGTGGGGAGGGTATCAAGCCCACTTCATCTTGAGTAGAAGCAGCTAATACTTCCACTGGCCTCACGCGTTTCCCGAGCTTGAAGCCTGGGAATAAGATGCCCCCATCTTTGGAGGTACCTTTTGCGAAACCTTTGCGTTCTGGCACTTGTATTGCGTGTGTCCGTATTCCCCGCAATTGATACAAGCGCCACGCACTCGACGGTCACGCCACACGTCTTGGTCAAGACCTGCCTTCACCCATTCAGCCTGCTTGGTCTGATTGGAGGCGGCCTTTCCTTGACTCCTAGGTTGGCCCTTCCCTCGGCCACTTGCCTTAGTCTGGACTACCGCGGCGAGGGTGCTACCCTCAGCTACCTCCTCGCCGTCAAACTCTGTATAGTCCATCAGGTCAGTGAGCTCGTCGATCTCAGTTCGAGTCCCATCGGACTCAACCATCATCAACTTAGCCCCCTTCTTCTTCCACTCCTGAGGACTCTTCTTCTTCTTCGTGTCAATCTGAGAGGTTGGTTGAGCATTGCCTAGCGTGGCCTCCAAATCTAAGGCTTTCCTAGACAGTGTCTCAAACGAGTGGTACTCAGTGAGTGCCTCGCTGGCCAGTAAGTGCCTGATGTTCTCTGGTAAACATCTAACAAACGTAGTTAACATGAACTGGTCACTATAGTTGATGCCTGGGACGAGGATCAGGCTCTCAACGGTAGTCGTAAGCTCTCTGACCGACTTGAATTTTCGTTGGTCCAGCTTGTTAATCGCATCAGTGGCTCTTTGTGCCTCCTGTGGATGATGCCATCGAGCTTCTACCATTTCCATGAACTGGTCTAATGTCAGAGACTTAGCCCATACCCGGCCTTTACAACTACCCCATCTAGCCACTTAGTTGCCGTACCCTCTAGGTAAGATGAAGCGGTAACCACTTCGTCCTCTAGCAAGGTCCTGTTGGCCTTTACCCAAATCGGAACTGTCCTCAACCATGTGTTGAGTCCTTCGTCCTTTCTCTCGCCTGAGAAGGCAAGACGCGGTTTCATTGGGGTCTTAGGATACCATTGACCCTGCGGCTGTCCCTGTTGAGGAACAGGTTGTTGCGGTGATGTAGCTCCCACCGCTGGACCCGAAGAAGAAGATGCAACAGTCTGTGCAACTGTTGCAGACGTACCACTTGGCTGTGTGCCAGCTTGTACGGGAAAGGGGTCTGACATCGCCGACAACGGCAACGGCGATTGTGCTGGTGGCCTGAATCCTGGCCTTGTCAATACATCCAGGATCTGGTCTAGAGTGCTCTGCATGAAGTCTAATCTGATGTCCACGTGCGCATGCAGCGACATCATATTCTTCTTCAACACTTTCATCGGCTCATTCATTCCAGAGTCGTCCAAGCCCTATAACTCAGCCTTGTCAGCCACTAATGTATCAAGCCTGGCCGCTCTATTCTTTCTCTCTCTTTCTCTGTCGGTAGCTTCTTTCAGATCCTTTTCTAACTGTGCACGAATCCTTTCGACCTGTTGGAGCTCCCTGAGTTCCCTTTCACGTGGGGTCAGCGGGCTGAACCGCGAGCCCGCCATCTGACTAGTAGACTGTCGAGAACCCATTGAACTGGAAGTGCCCGTGGAACTTGTTGGCACTCCCAACAAAGTCCCAGACAAAGCCGCAGAGGATGCTGCTGAGCTAGTCATGGCTGCTGCCCTAGCTGCTGCGGCAGCCTGTTCCCTAGCTGCGGCGTTTAGTGTGGCCCTAGCTGCTGCTAGTGCTCGGGCTCTACGTTCGGCTATAAGCCGTCTTTCTTCTCCCGGTTGTAGGGCCTGGAACACGTGCGGTACCCTTAGTGCTTCCGCACGTGTCAGCCTCCTATTGTCAGCTCTACCCTCCACAGGATCTGATCCACTCATCAGTTAGACAGACAGTATCTGCACTAGAATCCCCGAGTGGAATCCTACCGCAGCATATGTCTGACCGACACCTAATTTTCTAAAAAATGGTTGTGTCTGGCAAGTCCGCTACTGTACCGATTCAAGTGGCATGTCTACAACATTCACACAGATTGTCTACATAGTCTAGATGTACTCTGATTGGTTCACTTACAGCCAGCATTAGAGAGAACTGGATATGGTAGCATACTACAGTCCTGATCTAATCTGTCTGTGAGGTGTTAGCAGTCCGTCCACCAACTAATCAAAAGTACAAAAAGACAATGTAGCAGATGTATGATGAGTGGGTATAGTTGTGTATTCAGTTGAGCACCAATTAGAACCTTCCCTCCCCTCCATCCAACATACCGAACAACATCATTGAGCAGGCAGTGTCTTCGTGTGTATTTCGGCCCACCCCTGTGCCCAAGTCGTTACCGAGCAAGCTAGCCCAACAACTCTTATTTACCCTCCTACGGCGACGAGCCTTCCTGTCCATGTGATCTGGCTGATCAGGAGGAATTTATAGAGCGCCCCCATCTCTGCAGGAATTATTTAACGTCGCAGTCAGGACGACGATCACAGCCAGATTCACAATGAACTCCCAACCAGAAATGTTTATAGACGGTCTGGTAAGCGTCTGTCATGGGCTGGCACACCCGGCAGGACTGCTATTTAGCGCAGCAAGTGCCAAAATGGACAGCAGCCATCGCATGCGTGACCTACTCCCATTGGGTTGGCATGGTGACCGTGACCCAGTGCTTCAACCAGGGCCCTTCAGAGGCACCGCCCTTTCTCCTTCCAGATGCTTCCGGGAAGATTGTCGTCTCTCAAGGTAGCGCGCTCACGACACCTCACCAAAAGAGAGGACTCTCAAGTTGGACTCACTTCCTCACGGTAAGAAGAGATTGAGAGAGTAGATAAGGTAAGGGAACAACGTACCTGGAGATAGCTGCCCCCAACCACAGATTTCTCACCAATTGAGCTGAGTGTGCATTTGATGACCGGTCTTGGCCTCGGTACCACTCACAACGCAATGCAGTGCCACCTCAGCCAAATGCGACATCAGCATGCTCTCATCACCAATCATACATTCCGCATGTCACCACGGCATACCCAGGGCGTGCGCCTATATATGGCCTGACGTCACAAGTACCAACTGCGAAGAAGCATCGTCAACGCACCAAGTCTGTATAACGCCAGCATGCCAGAGGTAAGTGGCGATCAGATAGCACAATGGAACCGAGTAACCATCCAATTGAGAATGATACAGAAGAATCGTGAGTCAATGTCCATGCCCAACAGGGCAACACCAACAGCATAACCCAAATGTAGCTCTCTCTTGTGAATGGCGCCAGGCGCCCTATCTACTCTACAGCCTA